TGCTGACGCAGTATTGATCCGTGAGCTCATTCGCTTCCACTAAGAATATTTTCCACCCCGAAGGCAGCGGCAGCAGCAGCTGTCAATCTACTAGTGAGGAACATACTTTGCTCTTGTACTCACTTCGATGAGTCCAGAAAGCTTCTGGCCGGATTGCGGACCCATCCAAGTGGATCCTCTTCATTCTGCTTCGTCAAATCACCCTATCGAAGCCATGGGAGAAAAACAAAGTCAAAGATGAGCTGATTTCCGCTTTCTGGCAGGCTGACCATGGCTACATAGATACCCCGTATATACTGGTTCTTACCGTTATCAATGCCCCTCATTTGCTCCCAGCCTAGACTATATCCCCATCATTTCTCCCCTATCCAACACCATGTGAAACCCCGGTCTCAGACCCAAATGATTGGGCGGCAGTCTTTGTTCCACCATGTGTGCAGCCTTCCGGTCTCCCCCCTAAACGTCATTTCTTGATCAGGGATTCCCTTCCTGGACGATTGAATACAGTAAGATGGATTGATCTATCAGCTGCGGTCGCATAAGTACACCAGGCCCACCAGCCATTCACCGTGTTTTACTTCATTGCCAACTCAAGGCTGCATGGCCATCCTTGCCGCGCTGCCTCGTCCTGTGAGTGAATGAGCAGCAGGCTGTGCCCCCAGCAACCTGATGTGGGGTGTGTTAGCAGCACCTACTAATTTACAAGCGCTCATCCCGACTCCCCAAAACCTTCGTTCTGCCTTCATCCTCCCTGCAGCCTCATAGCCTGTCTATCTAGGTTGTGAGCTGTTGTGAAAGATAATTTATTCGGCGAGAAAAGCATTCTGCCATGTCGTCGGGAGGTCAGCGGGGTCGTGGTAGAGGAGATCGGGGCAAAGGCGGAGACCGTGGTCAGGGAGACCGTGGTCGGGGCCGCGGCGGTGCTCCCAGAGGTGGAGGTGCAGGCCGAGGCTCGACCACTGAGCTCCCTATCCGTCCCGGTCCCAGTGATGGCGGTTTTAGAGGTCGGGGAGGAAGAGGTGATGGTGGTGGTGGTGGGAGGGGATTTGATGGGGGCCGTGGACGTGGTTCGGATAATAGGGGACGGGGAAGAGGGTTTGATGGGGGCCGTGGTGGTGGACGTGGTGGCCGCGGAGGTCGGGGAGGAGGGCGCGGCGGTTCTGATCAAGGCCCGTCGGTGTACTCGTGAGTAGCGTCCCCACGCGTTTGGCTGCATTGCACGCCAATCTAACTCAATGGCTACCTTAGTCCGGGTGGACCGGTCCCTACCCCCAGTCCCCAGGTCGAGAAAACGGAAAACGCTATCGGAGCAGCGGTGCTTGCGAAGAAGCAGAAGAAAACTGCGGAGTGGCCGCTGCGGCCTGGTTTTGGCACCCAGGGACGGCCTGTCACGCTGTACGCAAACTATTTTGAGCTAAAGTCGGTGGGGAAGCAGCTATACCGCTACCACATCGATATCTCAGGCGACGCAGCTGGTAGGAAGCCTACCGGCAAGAAAGCCCGTCACATCGTGCGATTGTTTCTCGAAGAACATTTGGCTCAGTTCCGTAACAGTGTTGTTACCGACTATGTATCCACGCTTATTGCAAACCAGAAGATCCTGATCGAACAGGAGGCCGCCGAATATGATGTTCGCTACCGGGATGAATATGAGGACGAGTACCCCGAGGATGCTAAGGTCTACCGGGTGAGGTGCCAATACACAGGCACCCTCAACCCATCAGACCTCCTGAACTATCTCACATCTTCAGATGCTGCTGCCATGTTTGCATCCAAGGCCGACGTTATACAGGCCATGAACATCATCCTGGGCTTTCAACCCAAGAGTGATCCGACCATCGCTTCTGTCGGTGCCAATAAGCACTATGCTATCTGTGGAGGTCGTGAGGAGAAATATTCTCTCGGTGACGGGCTGGAGGCACTCCGGGGCTTCTTTGTCAGTGTTCGTGCTGCAACTTCGCGTCTTCTGGTGAACGTACAGGTCAAGTACGTTGCCTGCTACCAAGAAGGCCCGCTGGCGCACATCTTCGGGTTGTATGAGCCATTCCGCCCTCGCGAGCTCAACAACTTGCGTCGGTTCATTCGCACCTTGAGGGTTCAGGTGACTCACATCAAGAAAACCAACAAGAAAGGTCAAGCTATTCCACGGTTCAAGCGCATTGCTGGTGTTGCAATTCCGAGAGACGGTGCCTCGCAGCCAATGCCTCCCAAAGTGCCAAGACTTGGTGCAGGTCCTAAAGAGGTGGAATTCTTCCTTGACGCTCCAGGTCAACAGCCGTCGGCATCACAGCAGACTTCTCGCTCGAAGAAAGGAAAGAAGCCCGTTAAAGCGGGACCTCAGCCGGCTGGCAAGTATATCAGTGTTGCAGACTTCTTCCTCCAAAGTCAGTGTTCCCCCCAGCCTATCCTGATGTTGCGTCATTTAACATTGTCATCTGCAGATTACAATATCCAATGCGACCCAAAGATGCCCGTTGTGAACGTTGGGACGAGGGAGAACCCCAGCTATCTGCCCGTCGAAGTGTGTGAGGTCGTGCCTGGTCAGCAGGCTAACACCAAGCTTACACCTAACCAAACGCGGAACATGCTAAACTTTGCTGTGCGAGGCCCACCGCAAAATGCTCAATCAATTGTGGCGCAAGGGACAGAGGTGTTGGGTCTGGGAGCGTCACCAAATCCCACCCTCGTGAGTATCTCTCCAAAGTTGTTGTGAGTGCTTTGTTTAACGTCTGTGTTCAGGTGGACTTCGGCATCCAGAATGATCCTCGGCTAATAACCGTACCTGGACGAGTACTACCGGCGCCTAGCGTTCTGTACAGGGACGAGAGCAGGCCGAGTCAAAAGCAAATAAAGCCCTTCTCAGGAAGTTGGAACATGAGATCGATTCGGTTTTCAACGTCTACGAAGCTGCCTTCTTGGACTTGGCTTGCCTTGGACTACGAAGGCGCGAGATATCCGGCCATCAGGCCCGAAGACTTGAGCGCCAACCTCAAAGGCTTTACGGACAAGTTGAACGAGATTGGCGTGAATGCCAGCCCACCAAAGACTGGACAAACTCTACTTTTGACGAGAAGGGGATATGATGAGGAGATTAGAGAGTATAATACAAAGGCCATCGACAGAGCCGTTGCCGAGCTCATTGAGAAGCACAAGCCCATGCTCATACTGACGGTCCTTCCGAGCAACGACGCTGATATCTATAATATTGTCAAGAGGGCCTGCGATTTGACGCACGGCGTCCGCAATGTCAACGTCGTTGCCGACAAATTCAGAAAGCCTAACAATGATCAGTACTGGGCAAACGTCGGGCTCAAGTTCAACCTCAAGCTGGGAGGAAACAACCAGCTGATTGATCCAAAAGAGCTAGGCCTCATTGGACAAAACAAGACTATGCTCGTCGGGGTGGACGTCACTCACCCGTCCCCTGGGTCTTCCTCCGCAGCCCCTAGTGTTGCTGGGATGGTTGCCTCTATCGATTCGACTCTCGGCCAATGGCCAGCGGAACTCCGGATTCAAAAGCCCCGAGAAGAGATGGTCGCCGAGCTCGATACTATGCTGAAGGCCCACCTTCGGCGCTGGGTTCGTAACCGGAAGACCTACCCGGAGAACATCATCGTTTACCGCGACGGAGTCTCCGAAGGCCAGTACGAGCTCGTGGTGCAGCGCGAACTCCCTCTTCTCAAAGAAGCATGCAAGGAAGTATATCCCGCCACCGACACCTCCAAGGGCCTCCCACGCATCTCGATCGTGGTTGTAGGTAAACGCCACCACACACGCTTCTACCCAACCAAGCTGGAGGACGCCGACAAATTCGGCAACCCGGAAAACGGCACCGTCGTCGACCGCGGCGTCACCGAAGCCCGCAACTGGGAGTTCTACCTGCAGGCTCACACTGCTTTGAAGGGTACCGCTCGCCCAGCCCACTACTTTACCGTCTGGGACGAGGTCTTCTGCCGAGAGAAGGCCATGCCCCCATACGAAAACGCCGCAGACATCCTAGAAGGCCTCACCCACCGACTCTGCTACCTCTTCGGCAGAGCCACCAAGGCCGTTAGCATCTGCCCGCCCGCCTACTACGCCGACCTGGTTTGCACCAGAGCTCGTTGCTACCTTAGCAAAGTCTTCGACGAAACCCCGACCGGAAGTGTCATCACGGGCACTGACCCTGGCTCTTCTGCTCGGGAGTTCCTGAACGTCAAGATCCATCCGAATGTTAGCGACACTATGTTCTACATCTAGGATTGTGAAAGAAGATGTTCGGATGGACATTGCTTATGAGAACTACTACTTATGATATTTGGATAGTTGCTGATTCGAGATAAACCATGCCTCTTTGCCACGTGGATGATTGATGATGATGATTTGGTTTGTTTTATCTTGAGTTACTACTATCTGATGTTTTGAGTGAACCACCCCCCAGATTTTTTTTTTTTTTTTTTTTTTGACCCACAAAAAAAAAACCTTTTTAAATAAACTCCCTTTTTGGGGGGTTTTTTTGTTTTTTTACTTTACTTTTTTTGAGGATGCATGTAGTACATATCATATGTGACGGTTGTATGTACCTAGAATGAGCCAAATACGAGATACATGGTCACATATTATGATAGAACTACACTTGATTGAAGGATATATTGTTTGGTATTCCACATCGTATTAGTATTTTCATTAGGGTGAAATACGATGCTTTTTATCACTGAATCTGCCAATCGATCATGAGTATGGTATTTCACTTATCTGGGCATACAGAATGTGCCGACTACTGGTATTTAACAGACAATGCGTGATGTAGAATGATAAATGAACCAAAGCAACCAAGGACACAAAAAAAGAAAATAAAAACTGTCAGTGGAAATTTCTTACAAGAAGCGAAGAAGACACATCAAATAAGCAATAAGACAAAATCATATTGAACTGTGGGTAAACAAATTACACAGCTAGGAACTGAAATTGAATCGAAAAACACAACAAGAACAGAACATGTGGTTTATCATAGATCCGTGCATGCGTTGACTCTGCTATCGTTCACGGCGGGGAAATAAGTATCATATGCAGGCTTTTTTGGGTGCGCTCTTCAGTGAAACATGATGTGGAAGACTTGACGTCGCTGTTTGAATTGTAGTACTTGAGTAAGGAGCGGAGGCCCAGTGTTCGGTAAATCTGATAGACAGGTGGGTGTAGACGTTCAGCTCATTGAATGATCGGAATACATCATTCAGTTCTCTCCCATATCCCAGCTGCGCTGGTTAAGATGACGCATAGCGCGACGCTGAGGAGGTGCCGCCTTCTCCGGCGACTGCTCGGGGTCATCCCAGGACGACTGCATGTTCTTGAGAGCCTTCTGGCGATCTCCGCCAACAGGCTTCACGTTCTCACTGCTGACCTTGCTGCTCTGGGGCGACTCGGCGGTGATGTTCCAGTGGGTCTCGTAGTCCTTCTTGCGGTTGGGGCCGTTGTTGACAACAGACAGAGGGGCGTTCTCGTCAGCGGCTTCCTCTTCGTCTTGGAATAGATGGTTCTTATAGAGACTCAGTCCCTTGTTCTGGAAGGAACTGATGATACGAGGGGCGTTCTTGTCCTCGGCGGGGTCGTCTGTCAGGACAAAGTGGGTTTCGGCATCGCGACGGGGACGGTGCACCGGGGGATGGGCCGGAGGCGAAGTGAGGTCCGGCTCATCATCGCTCCAGCCAAAGTGACGGATTTGCTCTCCACGAAGGGGGCGCTTGGGCTTCTCGGGCGTCACAAAATCGTCAAAGTCCCAGTGAGGCGCCTGGCGCGACACAGGACGACTGGGCTTTTCCTTGATCTCCCTCTCACTGTTGTCCCCACCGAGCTCAAAGTGATCATATCGCTTCGGGTTAGCCCGATAGGCAATCTGCTCGTGACCACCTTCCGCAGCGACGGTTTCATCATCATCAAAGATACGGGAGCGCTGGAAGTTCTTGCTGGCACCAGCTTTGGGAGCGATCCTACTCCGAGACGGCGTGTCGGGAATATCGGCGTCTTCGTGGAAGATTTCCTTGGGGTCGCGGGGTGGGGGCTTTGCAGATGCAGGAGCACGAGGTGCGCGGACTGGCTCGCTCCGGTCCTTTTCAGGGGAGAGGAGCTCAAAGAGTGACTCAGCGGCGTGAGGATCCTTGATGTGTCTCTTTCCGGGGGAACCCTTCTTGCTACGTTCCTCGTTGCTCTCGGTTGTTGCAGGGAATGATGCAGACGCAGGTCCGTCGTCAACTGGGTTGGAGGAAATAGCGGACTTGATCAGGCGAATCTGATCCTTGGGTTCGCGAATCGGCCAGCCGCGACTACGGGATCCGATAACTTCGACTTGTTTCAGTAGCGACGCTTGGTCCCAGTAGATTCGGACATTTTGGATCTGATTCTGCGAATTGAAGCGAACGATATGGACCTGCGCATGAACAGAACGCGGCGTTAGTACAGGTATAGAAGAAGAGTAGAAGAAGGAGGTCACAAGACGCCCGACGTACCGTGGGGAAAGTCGCGACGTGGTCAGCCAGGAAGTTATCGTCCAGCGAGGGAAGATAGGCCCCGCCTCCAGACACAAACTCCAGGGTAGTTTCAATGTCCAAGCAGAGGGAGTTGGCGCTCTCAATCACATCCAGAACGTTTTCCGACCTGGTCTTGACAATTCTCTGCTGCTTGGTGAGGTGGCTGACGACGGCCGATGCGCCATCCAGCTTGGTGGTGGTGGTGATATAGATCAAGGACGCATTGGAGGCCAGGGGCGCCGAGGCTGGGTTAGCCAGAAAGCGCTGGTACACGTCTTTCAAAGACATGGTGGATTCGAGTGGATTAATATGTCAGAAACGAATGTGAGGGGGAGGGAGTGGTGGGTTGGGGTAAAGGAAGGACAAAACACGGGCAGAGAGTGAGTAGTAGTAGGGATGGATGTGGATGTTTGATGACAGGCCGAGGGAAAGTGAGAGAAGGGGAAACCGCCCGTTGCAGATTGGCGCGAACCACGTTTCAGAACCCGATTAACTTTCAAGCACAGAGAGTACAGAGTAAACCTGGACTAGAGTAATTGTAATGAATTTAATAAATAAATGAATGAATGTGCTGAGGATCTGAGTCGTGAGAGAAGAGGAATGCAGGCAGAAATCAAATCCAAACAGAGGGAGAAATCAATCGTCACTGGGGGGGGGGTTTGACTTTTAGTTGTTGTTGGTGTTGTTGTTGTTATGATTATTATGATTATTATTATTATAAGGGCCAGATTCACAACTACAAATTTGACTTCTCCAAGGGGGGTCTGGCCGATTCACCGTGAGCTATTCTTATACCTAACTACTTACTACCAACTGCACCACCAATTGATTAAGAGCCATTCTTCCAATGAGAAGGGGTGGCCGATCCAACCAACCAACTAATATGGGGTCTGGTTTGCCATCGGGCACAGTAGACTGCTACTGAGAGTGACGATGATCAAATAAACATGTGTCTTTGAACTCTGGGGGCATGACAGTCCATGGCTTTCCTGAATCTATTCGGGTCCATCACAATCTCGCGAGAAATCTCCCACGACGCTAAGGACTGGGGAAAGTCAAATGAGCCACGCGCACGGCTCCGACGATGGACACACCAGCGTTTCACTAATCGTGATGGGCCACCAACTACTAGTAAGTACTAAGTAACTAAGTAACTAAGTAACTACCCGCGTCTCTCCGGCAACTGCGCTTGGGCTCGGCTGGGTTCTTTGTTCATGCTGCCTGCCTGCATTATTCGGCTCGCTGCACTGCATTACACTCACTACGTATACTTGCTTGGCTATGTGAGTAGTAGGGAGTAACAGGAGTCTAGATACTATTGGACTCAGGTCCAGAACTGGTCGTGGTCTTTCATCTATCAATTAGTTCGTCTTTCTTTATTTTATTTCAGGCCTTCAGTCCGGCAAGCCAAATTCGGAAGTTTCCGCCTTAGATATACACACATATAACTATCCTCCTAACTGGCATGGGAGATCCTATGCCCTCCCCGTCGTGGTTTTTCTTCTCAGGTGCATTTAGTGCCTGGTTTCGCAGCAATCAGTCAGTCCCGTTCGCCTGCGCGGGTTTCTGCAAAGAAAAGGCACGATATCATGCCGGTGGATGATATCCAAGCCCAAGACTCCGCCTTGGGCGCGCTCTCATCATTCTACCCATGGGCGCACCTTCTTGCAAGGCAGAATTCTTTCAACATGGTTGTTCTTGTGTGAGAAATTGTAGAGTAAGGAAAGGGTATCAACGATCCTTTCAATAGTCACGCGATATCAATCATTAGGGTAAATGGTGGAGGTTAACGGCGCATCACAAAAGGCATTACAATGGTCTGGTTAGGAAAAGGAAAGTAAAACGTCAGTACATCTGCGTCAAAGTCTAATCCCAAGAGAGGTTGGGAAACTCACCCGAGGTAATCTTCCTTGATCGTTCCAATGGCATTGATCGCCGCAACGTCGGGCTTCACACCGAGGATCTTGAGCCGTAAACTGGTCCCCTTCTCGATGACTTGGTCCGCATGGTCTGTGTATTGCGGCGGTACTGTGTTCGGTTCCCACTTGATATCGGAAGGAATGTTCTTGCCAACTTGTTAGCATCCGACAAGGCTAGGTGATCCAACTCAAACTCGGTCGTCGACATACTTTCCGTGCAATGAAAACAGACAATGGACCGGCCAAAGTGAAGATACCCGTGGGCTTGACAGACGTAACAATCGCATCGACCTACAGGGTTCTGGTCAGAATCAAATGCAGCCCTGTTTCAGTGCGACTCCAAAACGTACGGTCTCTCCGCGGAAGGGCTTCCAGATAATTGCCCGATACTTAATCGTATATTCTGCCTGTCCGCTGCCTGGAAGCACCCGTCCTTCGCCAATATCAACCATGTCCATCACACAGATCACGAAATGGTCGCCCGTACAACGTCCCTCTTCCTCCTCGTTTAACCGGTTGATGAGATACTCGCGCATGTTGGGCCCGAAGTAGGACGGGTGCAAGGTGATAACCTTGACCTCTTCTTTAAGGAAAAACATGTTGTAGACTTGTGATGGTCGAGAGTATGATACACAATTTTGGTTCAACAGCCGGTGCGGTGGTGGTTCGGTTTACGCGATAGATCAAGCTTCAGCCAGTATCTTACTGTTTCCCGAGGATTGGATGGTGCAGTTCGAATATCTCGAGTGGCCCGTGTCGTTAGTCCAGAGTAAGTCAAATCGCTATGAATGAGTGAAGCGAATGAACTAGGTTTGCGACAAATAGACGAGCACTTGCCGCCAATACTTGATGACAAGATATCAACGACTGGGAAGACCAGAAAACTGATTCAGCAAGTCAACAGAAGAAGGGAGCGCGCGTTCAGGATAAAGAGCGCAGAACAGAGCAATTGCAGCAGATAAACCCTGCCTTCAAACAAGATCGGACGAGAAGAAGGGGCAGTCACCCGTTAATTCGACACCAAACTCATAGCGGTCACGGATTTCCGTCTGATCAGCTCGAGCTGGATACTCTCACGTGACTATCTGGAGAGCACCCCCACGACGGTCATTAATTACACAGCCATACGCCGTTACAAAGCCAATAGAGTGTAGCTCCGCGCACTGCCGGTCATGACGAGACGCAGCGTGTAATTAATCACGATATCCTCGGTCCTGCCTTTGTGCAACGAATTTACCTAGGCCGGGATGACGTCTGCACAAGCATAAAGCCAGGAACAAATCATAGAATGTCCTATCTCTCCACCTGCTGATCGGGTCAGATCAGGCAATATCCCCAGACAAGAAACCAAAAAAAAAGGAGCTGGTCTCACGCTCGCCGTTATTCTTTTGTTGCGCCCATCTACATCGGACTTTCGAGCCATAGCGGTAATAGCATACAAAGATGGCCTTGAATCTCGAAAAGCAGCTTCTGTTTGTAAGCCTCTACCGCAACACCTATCACAGTGTTCAGTGTTTGGCGCAAGATTTCCATGCTGACGAGCCTCACAGTATGGAGCCTATCACAATAACCCAGTATGCCATGCTATTTGCCCCATTTGCGGCTTGCTCTAATGGTCCCGTCCAGGTAAATGTTGCGATACACATCACATGCGTGCCGATACTTCTGTTCACAGGAATCGCTCTGGTACGAACTGCTATTCCCTCAACCCTTCATAGCGATGGACCGCTAACGTTTTATGAATCTACTAGGCGTCGAACACACCGGCCTTCGTGAATCTGCCCGATGCGCTGCAGATCCAAAACCTTCCTCCTAATCTCGGAACGATCGCAGCCATTATATACTCCACGTTTTACATCCTCCTCGAACCTGTTGCTGGGGCACTTGTCGCTCCCCTTATAATCGCTGGTACGGCCTGGGCGAACCATCTACTGGCTACGTATGGCAACAGCGTCAACTATTGGTTTGCTGGAATCCATGTAGTGTCCTGGCTGGCTCAGTTTGTCGGCCATGGTGCCTTTGAGCGCAGAGCTCCGGCCTTGCTGGACAACCTCGTCCAGGCGCTTCTTCTGGCACCTCTCTTCGTCTGGATGGAAGTGCTCTTTTTCTTCGGCTACCGTCCGGAGCTGAAGGCCAGATACGATCAGAATGTGGAAAAGCAGATTGCCGCTTTCAAGGCGCAGAAGGGCAAGACTGCCAAATAAGCGCTGTCAAGCTATATGGTAGGATGACCCGATCTCTATTTTTACATGGGAGTTGCATGGCTAGTAGCGGTGATTTTGCTGCGAGTTATGTTGCCATGTCAATGATTCGAACTGAGAGCATTGCTCTTCCTTAGCATTAGTTTTTGGTACCTCTGGAGTTTTGAGATTGATGTTTGCAGAGTGCAATGTCTGTCAGCGCTACAGTAATAATATCATACTACGTCGGTATTTGGAGTCAATTATTAATGAAGAGCGAATTTTACCAAAATGATTGAATAAATCGATGTTGATGCAGGCTTGACATTCATGCATCCAAAGTGGATCATGATGTAAGCCCCGGAGGTACGGAGTAGGAACCTGGGCAGTGAGGACTGTAAGGAGGGAAAATGGGGAAGGGGAAATAGGAAAAAGGTCGGGTATGGTTGGTATGTGAATATAAGAGGGGGGCTTTTTCTGTCATACAACATGCACAGAAGAAGACGAGAACGAGAGACAAATTACATATAATTAAGAAGGGAAAAGTTTGGAACAAGTCTTGGACTTGACGGGCAGAAGGAGGAGAAAAGAGGAGGTATATGCTGGGTAGCGGTAACATACGAACGAACCAGTTGGTCGCAGCCATGGGAAGGGCCCATGTCGAGCCGGTGTTTCCCACCGGGACAACCGGTCAAAGCAGTGAGGTGAGTGAGTGCGGTGTCGAGCAGAACGGGGCGGGTTGTTGTTGGCAGGGCCCTGCGGGCGGTTGCTGCGACGAAAATGAACTGAGTAAGCCAGCCAACCAGCAGTATCCGCAGATCCGAGAAAAGGAACAAATGAAAAATGGGATGGCCAGGTGGCCCGGAGAAACAAGCGGTTACCGCTTTCCCTCACAACCCCCGTCAACTTCAGAGCAACAATGTTAACAATTCCCTACCATAGAATAAATTTATGAAAAGGGTTCAAAGTGTAGGGGAACTAATAATAATAAATTTATGGACTAAAAATAATGTAGTAGTAGATCGGTGGGAAAAAATAGCAGACAAAAAGTGATGGAATACATCACCCGGCAACGAGTTTCTTTGGGGTGGGTGGGTGTCCCGTGAGCGCACTAGGGCGGCTTCGGAGGTTGGTGAGGTCTCGGCAAACTAGGATTAGTGGCAGTCCTGAGAATCCTCCCAACCCCGACGACAAAGCTCTCCTTCCATCCATCCACAATCCTTTCTCCTCTTCCTCCCTCCCCCCAATTACATCTCTCCTTCAGAGAAACCACTCTCCCACTCCTCTGAACCCCCATCACAATGTTCAGAAACGCTTTGCGGCAGTCTAGCCGCACCGTCGCGGCTGCCTCTGCCACTGGCAGGATCGCTTCGGTGAGTCCTATCCCTGTCCAGGTCGACCATACCTTCGCCATCTGGCCGATTCCATCCAAGAAGTCATCTCAATGATGCTTGCCATCGCCTCTCTACACATCGCAATGCTTCCTGCTTCGCTTTTACGCGTTTTGACTGCGTGGTCGTGATGTTGACAAATTTTGCGTACGACTACAGGCTCGCGCGGCTGTTCCCGGCCCTCTCTCTGGCGCCTCCAAGCAGATCCGTTCCTACGCTGCTGAGGCCAAGGCCTCTCCCACTGAGGTCTCTTCCATCCTTGAGCAGAGAATCCGTGGTGTTCAGGAGGAGGCTGGTCTTGCCGAGACTGGACGTGTCCTTTCCGTCGGGTACGTGAGGAATTCTCCCTCGGTTGAAAATTTTGGCCGCCGCTTCAATTCCATCGATATCATCGAAATATTCGAAAATCCGGCCATTATTTGACGCTCTCCATCGAAATCAATTGAAACTAATGTCAAAATTAGTGACGGTATCGCTCGTGTCCATGGCATGACCAACGTCCAGGCTGAGGAGCTGGTCGAGTAGGTGCCCCCGTTCTTTATATATGCCTTGTTTATGTTCCAATCAATTGACAAATCATTAGGTTCGCCTCTGGCGTTAAGGGTATGTGCATGAACCTCGAAGCCGGCCAGGTCGGTGTCGTGCTTTTCGGTTCCGACCGTCTCGTCAAGGAGGGTGAGACTGTCAAGCGTACCGGAGAGATTGTATGTATCTCTGTTTTTTTTTTTTTTTTTTTTTTTTTTTTTTTTTTTTTTTTCACGCCCAGATATCAGCAATCTTACTTACAAAAATCATCTAGGTCGATGTCCCCGTTGGTCCTGAGATGCTCGGCCGTGTCGTCGACGCTCTCGGTAACCCCATCGATGGCAAGGGCCCCATCCCCACCAAGGTCAAGAGCCGTGCTCAGCTCAAGGCCCCTGGTATTCTGCCCCGTCGCTCCGTCAACCAGCCCGTCCAGACTGGTCTGAAGTGTGTCGACTCCATGGTCCCCATCGGCCGTGGTCAGCGTGAGTTGATCATTGGTGACCGTCAGACCGGTAAGACCGCTGTCGCCCTTGATGCCATGCTGAACCAGAAGCGCTGGAACAACACTTCCGACGAGAGCAAGAAGCTTTACTGCATCTACGTTGCCGTCGGTCAGAAGCGTTCCACCGTCGCTCAGCTCGTCAAGACCCTCGAGGAGAACGACGCCATGAAGTACTCCATTGTCGTTGCTGCTACTGCTTCCGAGGCTGCTCCTCTGCAGTACCTTGCTCCCTTCACTGGTTGTGCCATGGGTGAGTGGTTCCGTGACAACGGCCGCCACGCCGTCATCATCTACGATGACCTTTCCAAGCAGGCCGTCGCCTACCGTCAGATGTCCCTGCTGCTCCGTCGTCCCCCTGGTCGTGAGGCCTACCCCGGTGACGTTTTCTACCTCCACTCTCGTCTCCTTGAGCGTGCCGCCAAGATGAACGAGAAGCACGGTGGTGGTTCCCTCACTGCCCTCCCCGTCATTGAGACCCAGGGTGGTGATGTCTCCGCTTACATTCCCACCAACGTCATCTCCATCACTGACGGTCAGATCTTCTTGGAGTCTGAGCTGTTCTACAAGGGTATCCGTCCCGCCATTAACGTCGGTCTGTCCGTCTCCCGTGTCGGTTCCGCTGCCCAGGTCAAGGCCATGAAGCAGGTCGCCGGTTCCCTGAAGCTGTTCTTGGCTCAGTACCGTGAGGTTGCTGCCTTCGCCCAGTTCGGTTCCGATCTCGATGCCTCCACCAAGCAGACCCTCAGCCGTGGTGAGCGTCTTACCGAGCTCCTCAAGCAGAAGCAGTACTCCCCCATGGCCGTCTCCGACATGGTTCCCCTGATCTTCGCTGGTGTCAACGGTTTCCTCGACTCCATCCCCGTCGCCAAGATCCTCCAGTGGGAGTCTGACTTCCTTGCTCACCTCAAGAGCAACCACCCCGAGATCCAGGAGACCATCGAGAAGGAGGGCCAGGTCAGCAAGGAGCTCGAGGCTCAGCTCAAGGAGATCATCCCCACCTTCAACAAGTCCTTCAACGCATAGGTGAGCAACACAATGCTCTTGGGCGAATAGCCCGCCATGTACCGAATCAATCCTGACTCTATGTGTATAGACAAGATAGCTTGTACAATTTGAACCCACTGTTTTATTTTTTTCTGTTAAACCAGAGCTTCGGGTCGGTCGAGATATTGGGATGAGGTGTAGTTTGCAACTATGCGATGAATATTTTACTGCCAGATCTATGTAGCTTATGGGACGACGGAGAGCAGGGTAAAGCGGTGGTGCGGAGAAAGGCAAAAAAGATACGATTAATATCCTGTACGTTTAGATCATTTCGCGCGACAAAGGGAACGGAATTGGACGGATTAACTGGTTTGGCGTGTAATACCTTCCAGCTGGTCTCGGCTTATGAAACCTTTGTCTACATATATGCAGCCTGAATATGATTTCCTTTGTTCGATTAAACTTGGTACTCTGAAGGGTGCGTATGAAGTAGTCTTTAGTAGTTGCTCTGATAGTTGAACTACTAAATTGAACGCTCCAGCTTTGATCTCTGGCGGTCATAGCGGCCAGTCTGGGGTAACTCGACCCAGCACGAACCCATGGCATTAGATGAGGGTCAAGTACTAGTAGGATATATATAGAAGCCATTGGGGTCTCATTGCCGGGTGGCGCCTTCTTCCCCGGTCGAACTGGTGGACATAAAACTAGGGTAGATGATCTGGGGTTGAAAACTGCAAGCAATACGGGGGTCCATTCGTGTAAATGTCATATAGCCAGCAATCTGATGTCAGAACCATACCATCTGGGGAACCAAGGGACAGTCGTCCCAGCAAATTTGCGGGGAATGGACAGAATGAAGCTGTGCTGCTCGCCGTCTGGAGCCGATGGGATGGGCCGAATGCGGGCATTGCGTTTATCGATAAGCGAGCAGCCTTTTCCGTCCCAAAATTTCTTTTAATGCCCCTCCGCCATAGCCCACCTTGAAGTAGAGAGTGTATTCCCTCCCATCCCAATTGCTTCGAATCATTCTTCCCTCCCATTCGCAAAGATGGCTACCACTTCTGACTCGGTCCCGGCCTCTTGCAAGGTCATGCTCTCCAAGCATGTTGCCAATCGCCTGCTTGCGGAGGTCCAGGAGGGCGTCCATACCCTGGAGAAGCCGCCTCACTTGGTGGGATTCCTTGCCAACAACGACCCCGCGGCGTTGATGTATGCCCAGATGACGGAGAAGACGTGTCAGGAAAAGTGAGCATTCTCCCAAATTTTCACTCCCAGTTGCGTCCGTCGTGCCCCTGTGGTTACCGCGTCTGGTGGCCCCTCGGCGCGCATATGACTCAACCCTGCGATGTCGGAGCTCTCCTGGCACGCAGGCAGTATTGTGGGATGTCACTTCGTAGCTAACGTAGTCTTTTTATCCATTCCACAGTGGCTTCCGCTACTCCCTCCGTGAAGTTGCCCGCGATGATCTCGAGCAAGCTATCCTCGCAGCCAACGCCGACTCCGATGTCAACGGCATCATCGTATACTACCCCATCTTCAACAACCGCCAGGACCAGTACCTGCAGCAGATTGTCGACATAAATAAGGATGTAGAGGGTCTGAGCCACCGTTACATTTTCAACATGTACCAGAACATTCGTTTCCTTGACCCCGAGACCAAGAGACAGAAGTGCATCCTCCCCTGCACCCCCCTCGCTGTCATTAAGATCCTTGAATACCTCAACATCTACAACACGATATTGCCGTACGGTAACCGCCTCTTCGGACACACTATCTGTGTTGTGAACCGCTCTGAGGTGGTTGGTCGCCCTCTCGCTGCTCTGCTGGCCAACGACGGTGCCTGCGTCTACAGTGTCGACATCACCGGCGTTCAAAAGTTCACCCGTGGTGAGGGTCTGAAGAAGGGCAGACACGAGGTTGTCGACCTGGAGGGTAAGACCCTGAAGGATGTGGCACCTCTGTGTGATGTTGTCATTTCCGGTGTTCCTGGAGAGAAGTACAAGTTCGATACCAGCCTTCTGAGAGAGGGTGCTGTGTGTGTCAACTTCTCCAGCGAGAAGGTACGTTCCACAGCCATTTACAATAATAATACTTTATTTCAAAGGCTAACATAGGGTGTGAACAGAACTTTGGACCTGAGGTCAAGGAGAAGGCCTCCATCTTCGTTCCTTCCATCGGAAAGGTCACCATTGTCGTCCTGATGCGCAATTTGCTGGTAAGCAATTACTTTATATCTTCGCCGAAGCAACTTCATCCACTAACAATGTCCTTCAGAGACTCATCCAAAACAGCCGTGTGGATGACGTGAAGCCCGCTGAAGCTACCGAGCGTCCGGGAACCCTGGAAGCCGCTAACTAACCATCCTACACTACGACCAATATTCTCTAAAAAGTGCCACGGGAGACGAATTAAGAAGAGCCAGTCATAGATTCCTTTTTATTTCCACTTCTTCTATTGTATCTTTCCACTGAAGCCATATATCATGCGACCCAATCATTCTTGTATAAAAAAGACAAAACCTATGCCTCATTTTTGCTCAATTATTCCCTGGTTCTCGTCTCTTGAGCCCTTCCACGTGTGGGAAATGAAATGAACATACATGTATTCTGTCAATATATGATTCCCTACGTTCATTTTATGACTGAATTCCTGAACAACAAGACACACTTTCATTTCTGGAAAGAAGAGAAGACTAATGCAATCAAGGTCAATAAACTCCAATTTCCTTTCCAACCCACTAGATTATCCACAACCAGCACCCCATATACATTTCACTTCCTCCTCTTAACATCCTTGCTCTCCTCCTCAACACCTACTAAACTCGCAACACCCCCAGTCTTCTTCTGCGTCTCCTTGGCCGCCAACCCCAGAACCTCAATCTCACCAGCCAGCCAGGCCCTCAAAGGCTCGGGGTGGAATGTCCCATCCGCAGCAAACCACTTAGTGAACGAGGTCTCGATCTCCTTCTCCTGCAGCGTCTTGCCTTGCGCCGACTTATACTGGACCCGCAGCTTGTACAAGGGAGAGTGCTTCTGCATGGAGGACCGAATGATGATCTAGCATATCGTATTAGCTCACAGCCGAACTAACCCACCTTTCAGCGATATTGGAACGTACCGTTTCACCCGACTTCCGCTTTCCACGGAATACCTCACCTGCCTCAACAGCCCAAACCCAGTACGTGAGAAGCGAGTTCAAGGTAAAGTACGACAGCACGGCTGCGATGATCCATGGTGAATGTGTCGCCTCCCAGTTAAGCTTGCGTTCAGCATAGAAGCTGAACCCGGCAATCGCCACGGCAGCGTAGCCCAGGAATAGGTGGACATTGGTCTTGGTGTGGTCTTGGGCGAAGGTGTAGGGTTGAGGGAGGGAGCCGAGGTAGGGAGCTAGGGCGTCATCGGTTGTTGATTTTATGTCTGTTCGATGGGATCGTTAGCCATCTCCGTGGATACGGTACATAAATCGCGAGGGCAGTGAGCATTGCGTCGTGCTGATTATATGTGTATATGTAGTAATAGTGATGTTTATCGCGAACTAACCATTGACCGAGTAAACGGGCACTTTTTGGACTTCTGAGGACGCCATCTGGGAATTTATTTTTCAAGCCAAATAAGACAAGATAGAGTACTAATTCCCCCAGCTTTTCAATGTAAAATAATTCAGGAAAGGGTGGAAGAATACTTCGTGGAGCTCTGATCTAAACCGGGGAAGAGTTGCGGCGAGCTGTCCCTTTCGCAAGCTAATGGCATGCGCCAAGGCAAGTCAGTCAAGTCAAGTCAGCCAGCCAGCCCGCCGCGCCGACCCATCCAACTTCCGTGGGGAGCTCCGTGTGTCTTTCTCTGACTCCGAACCACAACTCGAGGGATTAGACCACACCTAGTCTTATTCAATTCTGCTCAAGATGGCTCTGCAAGGCGTTGAGCAGACGATCCTTCGGGATCCGGCTCTATTGTGAGTTTATTGCTAGGCACTGGGCGCGGTTTGATGCGTAATACTGATGTGATTGACTCGCACCTCTAGCTACTGGATTGTGTTCCCTATCACTGTTGTTATGGTATGTGCACCTCATCTACACCATTGGTGACTAGGATATATGCTAATGTTATCATCCATTAGATTCTGACAGGTATCCTCCGTCACTATGCCACCGTCTTGATGAACAACCCCCCGAAGCCGGCCTCGACGCTGGCCGAATCCCGCGAACGTCTCGGGCTCATTCGCGGCGTCAACCTCCGGAATAACTCCTCCGTACTCTCCAAGGAGTCCTTCGGGATGCGCAAGAACTACCTCGTTTCTGCCTACCAGAGCGGTGCTTTCCTCAAGGACCCCGCTAGTCGCGGCCAGCCGCCTGCGAACCCGATGACCGATCCTGCTGGCATGGAGGCCATGATGGGCATGATGAAGGGGAATATGATGATGATGATCCCGCAGACGCTGATTATGAGCTGGATTAATGCGTTCTTTTCGGGATTCGTGATTTGTAGGGCTTATCTGATACACTATGAGAGGGGGAGGGATGAGCTGACATGAGTGCTACTAGTGAAATTACCTTTCCCGCTTACCATTCGGTTCAAGTCGATGCTGCAGTCTGGTGTTATGACCCGGGATTTGGATGTTAGATGGGTGTCCAGTCTTTCGTGGTATTTCTTGAACTTGTTTGGTCTGCAGTCGGTCTTTGGGTTTATTTTGGGTAGTGATAATGGTTAGTTCGATGTGCTTTCTATCCATCAGGTTGGAGTGAGTGTACTGACAGATTTTGCTTTAGCGGCCAACCACATGGCTTCGCAGATGGCTTCGATGAACCCTGCTGCTGGGATTAACCCGTTCCAGCCCGGCCAGGATCCCGATAAGTTGTACCAGAGTGAGGCTGAGAACTTGGAGGTCATTGAGCACTTTTGCATTCTGGATGGGGTCGAGGAGAGAGTGCTCGCTCATTACGCGGGTAGGAAAAGCTATTAGGTTATGATGGTCTGGCTTATGGGTGTGTTTGGACTCTACTTGTTGAATATATTAGATGAAGTGCAGATGTATCAATATGACATACTAGTAATATAAGTGCAGAACGTGAGTAGTAGTAAGTAGTTAAGACGCGAGTGTCCTCATTAATAGTAGCCTCTGCCACGAAACCTTATCCGGGCATCCATCAGTCATAAAATCATCATCAATATCACAAACATAACGAAATATATAACCATCAAACCCAATAGACCTAGGTGTAATTAACGACCCCATTCAAAATCCACAATTCCCCATTCGACACCTTCTCAGCAACACTATCCACCTCCACATTCCCCGGTTGAATCTACCACAAACAGTCAGCATCACATCACATCACAGAAGCAACGGAAAAGAAGACGAAGAAAGAACATACATAAATCTTCCCCCCTTCCCCTTTATTCCACGTTACCTTCTCCCCAGCAAGCGTAAACCCCTCATCACCCTCCCCCCAAGGACTCCCCACAACAACATGCGCCTTTACAAACCTCTCCAAATTCTTCCTAGCCCGATCCTGCCCCTCATCACCCTCATACGCCCCGGCCTGCCCAAACCGCTCATAATCCTCAGGATTCTCCCACGGCTTGCGCGGCAGGTTCTGGATCGCGCTGTTCCGCGGCGCCAGGACCGTCACATTGCTTGAGGGATCATTGAAGCGGGATTCTACACTGTCGAATTGCCGCGTCAGCGAGGCGTAGACGTTGATGAGACGGTTCTTGGGTAGGACGTCGGAGATGATGGGGTTTTCGTGTGAGGAGGATTTGCTGCCCATTTTGTTGTTGTTGGTGGAGGGGGGTAGTTGCTGGGATAGCCAGTCTTTTATTTCGGAGAGGTAGGGATTGTTGTTGTTGTTGTTGTTGGTGGTGGTGTCTTGGAGGTGGAGGTCGTGACGGAGGTGTGGTGCGGAGACGAAGGGACGGGGGAGACGTTTTCGGAGTGGGAAGCTGTTGCTGGCTGTGGATAGAGTGGTGAGGATGATTATGATTAGGGTTAGGGAGGATGCTATGAGGAAGAGGGGTTTCTTGGTCATTTTGATATTGGGATCTTTTTATATAGATTAGGTTATTAGATAGATGGATGGTATGGTATTGTGGTGGAGGTGATCGGCCTGTCAGCCGGACTGGGGGATGACGCAACGGCCAACAGCTAACTAGTTAGTACTGTTAGTACGGAGTAGGGACTTTGTAATAGCTGGAGAGTAATATGGTCAATGTAGTAGCACGTGATGCCTATCGATAAGGGCAATCAATGGGCGGGCCACAAACGGCGTCATGTTCCGGTCGCGGAGAAGATAGACTGAGGCACTTGACTAGTTGCTTTCTTTCCTCCCCCTCCCCCTCACCCTCCATTTGCCCCTCATCTGCGATTTCCGACGTCTCACCTGTCACAAGATGTCGGCGTTGCAGACATTCCTGCTGGTCGTGGACCATGATAAGCAGGAGGCCAAGCAGATTGCGGAACGAATTGCTCAAGGTACGTTATGTTTGATGTTCCCATGCACCCCCGCCGCCGCCGCCGCCGCCGCCGCTGCAGCAGTTTGATAGATGACGGACCGGGACTAATTACTATTGCTGGGGACAAAAAGATGTGGAGACCAAGAAGATCACGCTCATTGAAGTCGTGCAGTCGCTAGGAGAGTACATCAATGACGAGGACCCGATTCTGCGCGGCAAGGCCGTTTCCTACCTCACAGCCGTGATCAGGGCGCTTCCCCCGAAGTTCCTGTCGAGACAACAGATTCAGGTTTTGACGACTTTCTTCTGCGAACGGATTGAGGATGGAGGTGCTGTCGCTGGATTGGAGACCTTGCAGAAGCTGGATCGGTTCAATAAGGCGTTGGCTGAAGAGGTTGCGCGGGCGTGAGTGCATATGATATTGATAAGGTCATGCGTCGATCGCGGACGGGATGTGTAGCTGACTTGTGCAGTGTCTTCGAGCGCTTCGAGGAGCTACAGTCTCGCTCGCAGTCTCAGAGGTTCCAGGTTTACCAATTGCTGAACGAATTGATGATCAATCATCGTGCCGGTGCGTTTCCACCATCCATACTTCGGTCTTGATTTGCGGGAATTGACTGTTGGTGCAGCCCTCCATGATATGGGTGACGAGTCCCTGGTTGGCATAGTGAATCTGATGACGGGTGAGAAGGACCCGCGCAACCTGATGCTGGTGTTCTCGATCCTCAAGGTGGTGATGGTGGAGTGGGATGTGTCCAACCATGCTGAAGTATGTATTGCATGTGGTGTGGTTGTGGTCTTTTGATAACTGACATGTGAAGGCTCTGTTCGACTCCGTCTACAACTACTTCCCCATTACGTTCAGGCCTCCGCCGAATGATCCCTACGGTATCACTGCTCAGGACTTGAAGGACCGCTTGCAAGACTGTATTTCGGCGAATAGTCTTTTTGCTCCGCACGCTGTCCCTTCTCTGTTGGATAAGCTTGACTCTACGTCGCCCAACGTCAAGGTACGTGTTGGCAAGACTGCGGCCCTCATGCGTTCTAACGATCCTATAGAAAGATGCACTCAACGCACTCATTGCTTGCGTCAAGCTGTACGACCCAAACACCGTGTCCAAGTACTCGATCACCATCTGGGAGACTCTGAAATTCGAGATCCTCAATGCCCAGGAGGAGTTCCTTTCTGAGCTCTCTCTTCAGGTCTTAAGCAGTATTGCGCAGCGCTTGTCGGAGGGCCTCACACAGGTCTCCGATCAGTTGCCTCTTGCACAGTTCTTGCGCCCGATTACCAAGGAGTGCAGCGAGCAATTGCAGGAGCCTCAGCAAAAGCAGGCGAAGCCTGCTCAGCAGATCCTCAGCTCCACTTCTGCAGCGTCCGCAGCCTCGTTCACGCTCATCGTGCAAACCGTCGTCGCACCGCTCTTGACTATCTACCAGGAAGCCGATGGAATTGCCAAGCAGAGAGCTCTGCTAGATACATTGACCGTTCTCTTCGACTCTGCTATTCAGGTATATGGCGCATGGACATCGCGGGACTCGGAGCCTAGTCTCAGCAACCCCTTGCTCGAGTTCAAGGACCAGTTCTCCGACATCTTCGGCCAGGCACTCATGGGCGTTATCAAAGAGGAAGTCTCGTTCCGCACCTCCGCTCTGAAGGGATTCTTGCGCTTGTCTACCCTGCGCAACTACTTCCAAGATAACGAAGTCGGACTCTTCGTTCAATACCTTGACGAAATCCTTCTTAAGGAGGAATCAGTTGGCCGTGACGATCTGAAGAAGGAAGCTATCGCTGCACTGACTGAAATCTCGAAGTATAAGCCGCGTCTGATCTTGGACATCACTTTCCCTGCTTTCGTGGCCACGCTTCCTGACTCCGACGATGGGTCTAACCCTGGGTATATCACCACCCTCGAGACTCTCGCACAAATCAGTGTCGAGAGGGATATCTTCGACACGCTTGTCCGTCGTCTGCTCAGCAAGTTGAGCATACTGTTGCAGAAGGAAGACCCAGGGTCCGTGGACTACCCCAGAGCCATCCTCTTGACTATCCTTTATGTCATGAACCAAAGGAAACTCGAGGAGACCCCGAACCTGGACCTCTACTACGACAAGATTGTCGTGAGTCTGTGCCGCAGCGCAGCAACAGCAGCTCTAGGCAAAGCCCCGAACAACATCCTAACCGACGCTACCGTCCTTGATGTCCTCGGAAGACTATGCAACGTCATCATCAGATCCCTTCCCCAGAGCAAACACGACGAAGTCGTTTCCAACATCTACACCCTCTTCGCCTCAGCGGACGGCTTCCAACAGGTGCCCTTCACGCCCTCCCCAACCGACAGCCACCGCCGCACCATGATCCTCTCGACCTACCTCCTCGCCAGTCTCCCCCGAGACACGAAGAACCTCCCCTCCTGCACACCCCCCGTGATGTCCGACCTCCTCACAGACATCGCAACCCGCTGCACGACCGAGACCGAGACCGCCACCCAACTGGCCTTCCTCCGCCATCTAGCCCTCTACATCAACAAGCACCTCAACAAGGAAGATCTCGATCTCGCAACCTCCCTCTTCGACACCCTCCTCCCCCCAACCACCCAAGACCCCCAACCCACCACCCCCACCATCAAAACCCTCTTCTGGCTCTCCAAAGCCCTCATCCTACGCCTCTCCCCCAAAACCACCCAAATCCTTACCACCCTCCTGAACCTCCTCTCCTCCTCTTCCGAAACCACCAGCACCACCGCCGCCCGCGGCTTCGCCATCCTCCTCAAAGACGACGAAGTCCTCTCCCCAACCAACCACGCCAACATCCGCCTCCTCTCCAAACAACGCGTCTTCACCACCCTCACCCCACTCATCTCCGCCCGCATCCGCGAAGTCAACGTCGCCGGCAACACAACCACCACCACGGCACCAACATCACCACACATCAAACCCGCCCATCTAACCGCCCTCTCCGGCATCCTCTCCACCATCCCCCCGACCCTCGTCATGCCCGAACTCCCCACCCTCCTCCCCCTCCTCCTTCAAAGTCTGGACCTCCAATCCGCCGACTCCCAGCCCGTCCGCGCCGCCACCCTCGAAACCCTCGCGGTAATCATCCGCGACAACGGCGTCACCGTGATCGAAGAGTGCGGACACGTGCAAAGCCTCGTCACTCGACTCCTCAAGACAGCCGAGCACGCACCAGCCACTGGAGCCGTGAATGGACCCAAACTGCGCGTCGATGCTCTCAAGTGTCTGTTCTTGCTTGCGCAGACGCCGGGTTCCGGTGCCGCCGATGCTCCAAAGGTAGCTAAGGCGGGTAAGCTGTCGCCGCTTTTGCCGGTGAAGAGTCAGGTACTTCGGGCGTTGAGGACGGTGCTGGATGATCCGAAGCGCGATGTTAGGAAGGCTGCGGTGGATGCTAGGGGCGCTTGGCTTAGGGGGGTGGATGATGCGGCGGAGCAGGATGATTGATTTGTTTCTCTTTTACTTTCTATTTTTTTGTTATGTTTTGTGTGTTAGAAGGGAGGGTATATTTTGGTTTTTGGATTCGAGTTTTGGTTGCATTCTTGGTACGTGGTACGTGCTGCATGCTGGCTGCTACTGAACATAAAACGTGTGGTGGCAATAAAGGCAGAGAATTAGATGGAATGTATAGACGATTGGATACTGTGCATAACACTGATGTGAAATTGACGTTTCTCGAAGATAGTTGCATGTTGGTAGGCTTCCTCGACCTACGCAGACATTTACGTAACAAAATCCAGAGGTGCTGTAACTACAAAGAAGAACAGAAATTGTAGGATTCACAGAAGAAAAACTGGTCACATAAACTAAATTTCAATTTGATCTCATTGATACTTCCTCCGCACTGCACCCGACCTCACCAAAATTCCCGCTCTAGCCCTTCAAACGTTTCTCTCTGTGGGCAGGCGCTACCCAGGTCTTTAACGCTCTCTATGTCATCAAACTCGAGGCCCTTCGAAACGGGTACAATCTGAAGCGCACCGGAGTGGACTGATGCCTTGGTTGAGACGCTGGCCCTCTGGTTGAAGTAGCCAACACCATCTGCCTTCTCAACTACCAAGCTAGTGAGACGCAGGAGATCCCCGAGCCCCCCGGTCCCAATGGCCATGGCGACTGGACTAAGTGGCACATCTGGGGTTATAAGAGATGCATACCTCCCGAATAAGTCGACGCTACTCCAGTCTTCTGCACGCTCACCAACCTCAAGGTCGACATTGCTCTTCAAGAGAGATTCAATAGCTGGACTGACGAGCGAAGCCTCATACCAAAGCCTTCCCCGTCTGATCATCTCTTGAGGTGCCACCGCACGGGCGCGTACGGCTGTTCCTTCAGCGGCACTGGTCCCGACAATTAGATCCTGAGTCTCCAGTACCTGCAAATATAGATCTCCGGTGATTTCATTTGAGGGAGCCACATCTGAGCGAATGAACTTATGCCGAGTCCAACGCTTCATGTATACCTTCTCAATGGAGATCGCATTCCCAGCTGGAAGGCGGGTGAAAATGCGCAGAAGTGGTTTGTCTGCGGGTATCCAAAGATGGTCAATCATATGTTGAGCTGCTGATGCAAATTCCGGTCCATGATCGGTGACGCAGTTGACACTGAAATTCGCATCCCAGATTTGCAGTGGGATATGCAAGTTAACGCCCCCAAGCGATGAAACCGGCTTTCTCAAAGTATGACCACCCTGTTCATCAATGACAAGAACAAGAGGTTGACCAGGCTTCGTTCGGCAATGGAACTCATAAGATACATTGTATTCGTCATACTCTTGTTCAAACAGCCGGCGTTTTCCGTGTGCCTTGGACGTCCTCAGGTCAACAAGATGGTCAATGTCCGCACCAGAGGTCGTCAATCTATTTATGAATTTCGTCGTCGGTGCGGCCAGACCCGTCCGTGGCTTGAAGATCTTCTCCCAATCGCTGAAGAGCATCACTTGCTCGCAGCATGGCTTTGGGAGGGATGGTATTAAGATCAGCCCGATTTGCACCTCCAAAGTGATTGCTCCTGGGAATGTTTCAGCTGCCTCTAGAGTGGGCTTCAAGGCCTCATACAATTTCTTGATGTCTTCGTCAATATTCCTGTCCTCCTGGATTGGCTGTTCTTCTTGTTCCTGGCTCACCGGTGTTGCTATTCTCTCCTTGATCGGTCCAGAGCCATGTTGGCTCCCTGAAACATCGACTGATGGCTTCTTGGCGGGCCTTGGAAGTATTCCCCAAGCATCTTCAAGGGTCTTCTGTTTCTTGGCTTTAGCCTCGGCCTTGCTAGTGGCCTTGTCTTTGTTACTTGAATTAGGTGCCTTCTGTGTCATAGTACGGCGGAAGGCTCTCGTCACGACCTCATCATCGAGGTGTTTCGCTGCCCCGTGGGATCTCTCAATTTCCGTGACTTTGTCGTGAGCTAAATTCCCCTGTGCCTGGCGTAGAGTTGGTGCATCCTTGTAAGCCTGCTCCAAGATCAGTGATTCGCCTTCGTTGCTTTCATTATAGACCATGGTCAACGAAGCTAGTCTGTTTGTCTGCTCAAACACCATCTCACTGCTGTGTGAAGTAGCCCTTGCGTTACTGAGTGGTGCCATCATATCACCGCTGAGTGAAGCGTCTCTGGTTCTGCCGGAGGAAGTCGCCCTCTCATTGGTATGAGAGGGGGTTCTGTCGTGGCTTGGGGAAGTTTCTCTGTCATTGCTTAGAGAAGTCGCTTCTTGCATGGATTCCGTGCTGCTAAGCTCTAACGGGGTCCCAGATGCCTCAAAAACTAAACCGGCAAGATCAAGACCATTGCCCCTGCTGTGCCCGACCACTTTTTCTGAGGCCGGGGTTGGGGAGACCGCAACTCGACTACAAGACAGACTCGAAGGCACCAAGGCCGGCTGATAGAAGGAAATCGTCGGTTTAATACTAGAACCGTCAGTTGTTACCGGCCCAAGAATATCAACAAGCTCCTTCCGGTTGTTAAGCTTCTTCTCCGGCCCCGATCGGGTGTGGGGGTAGGTGCGGTGGTCGCTTTTCATAGCCTTGGGGGCGCTTCTGTTGAGACCATACTTTGTGGTGTCAAAACCCTGGATAAGACGCGGCTTGTTCTCCGGCACTGTTTGATCGATTGTTGGGGCTACCTGAGCCTGTGGCGCCTCCACCTCAGCCATCGGATCTGCTGTAACATGCTGGCCTGCCATGCCAGTTTCGGTATTGTAGGTCATCTTCCACTTCTTACGACCCTTAGAGACATCGCCTTCAGCCTCCGCAGCTTGATCCACAGCATTCTTGAGTTTCGGCTCTGCACACCCCCGAGATGATGATGGCTGTATCTCGTCAGAGGTGATGAGTCTGCGCTGTTTGATACCTGGTGGCCTCTTAGTCATTGGAGCAGGAGGTTTCACAGCTGACTGCTCGAGATGAGGCACAATTCTCATATCTGCGTCGGGTATAGGAACAGATTTTTCAGCACCAGTTCCCTCCACAACCCACCGATTCCACTGGTCCACTTGTTTTGCCTTCTCACGCGTTAAATAAGGATGTGTAGCGGAGCCACTGGCAGCTGTAGCCGGAGCTCTGGCTCTAGCAAGCTCATCAACAGTACTCAAGGCAAGATATTCATCGCCTATTCCAATCCCTTGAAAGACGAAGTCATTCCAGAGACGGGTTCTTCCAGGCTCCTCGGTTATATGAGGTGGATTAGTGATATTTCTGGGCTCTCTGAATGCATGGATCTCCTCGTCGAAGGGTAATGGCACAGTGACGAACATCTGACCGAGTTCCCAGGTGAGGCTCATGTCTGGGTCGGTCAGAAGGCGTCGAGGAGCAGTACTGTTCAGACTGCCGTAGCTCTGCATACGAAAACGTATGCGACCGTTATCTGGAGTAGCATTCAAATTTGCTACTACTGGGCTCAAAATAGAGCTCTGTTACACAAGTAAGAAAAAGGCAGGTACTCTAGCGAGGCAGACACTTACCAGGGGCTTCTCAATCCGAGTGAGTTTCGCCAAGGCATCCTGTACGTCCTCGACGGATTTCCCGATCACTCGAATGCCATGGCCTTCGACAACGCAAGCCTCAGTCCCAGTCAAAGCCGCTATCTGCGAGAGAACTTCACGGAACCTGTCGTCTGAAAAGCAACCGGGGCCCCCACTGGGCGATAGCCAGAACCTAGTAACAAGAGCTGCGGGGTTAGGTATCAAGTCCTGGTCAGAGCTGTCTGACAGGGCTAGAAGCCCGCCTTCTTCGTCCTTGTCCGAGTCGGAAGCCACGGTGTCTTCGTCGACAGGCATAAGGGCAGAGACGTCAAGTTGATTGATCCGAGGCAACTAAAGTTCTGCCCGTTAGCGAGATGTTCTGTTGGGAGTGGGAGAACAAGAACACCCCGAGACGTACGTCTAGCAAATCCTTATTCTCCTGACCATCGATGAAGTTTGATACGACCTTTGCAATTTGAGACGTGCCGCCCTCCAGATTACCCTTTACCTCAAGAACCTAGACAAGCGACTTTGTTAGCATGATGAATCGAGTTCACTGGGTGGGATATCAACAGACGTTGTCATGCTTATGGTAATGATATTCACTGTCACACTGGTTTTTGAGTTTCCTACAACAGTCAGCCTTAATCACAGAAGAAGTGTGTGTTGGCTAGGCTCTTTACTTGATCTGATCTGTAACCTCCTCAACCTGTTATTGTGTTAATGCGGACCACGATGTAACGACACTAGCTTTTGCTTACCCCAATATCTTCAAACGCCCACATCGACGCCAGCGTGAGCCGCTGCATTCCCGACATTGTGTGGAATGAAGATGTGAAAGATCATGCAAATGAACTCTAAAATGGGTGTGGTAGGAAGAACAGAACGAGATTGATGGTGATAACCGATGAAAGACGAACCAGTCAAGGCATGAACAAGATTACGAAGAAAAGAGGAAAGACGAAAGGAGGAAGTGGAAAAGAAAACAAGAAGGAAGTGGTGCTTGGGGGGGAAGATGGCGGGGCAAGGGTGGTCAGTTAATTCTCATGGCAATGAAACACCGGGGAAAGAGCCAGAGTGAATGGCCAGTGATCAATAATAACACGGGGCGAACTTTAAGGGAATCAACACAGACACTTGCACAAACACAGAGCGGGTGGGTGCAGCTGGAATTCCCTGCGAGTGGACGCCACTGGAACAGTCACGGTGTGTCATTGAAGTTAACAGAAGTACGGTCTGGGCAAGAGAAGGTAAAGCCCGCGTTCTATAGACAATGAAAGCAACTGCATCAAGACACAGTGAAGTCCCTAATCTAGAAAGAATACAAATACTCCCAGAAAGGATGAGATGGTGGGGGAGATCTGCCGTTAGCAGCACAGGAAGAGGCCGTCCCAAGCCTTTCAAAGGAGAGTTCCGTCACATAGGATGTTTTTTGCATTACTGTAAGATTGCATTGTTGACATGCAAAGGATAAAAAGTATATCTACACGGATTCTGCCGTTCTGGTCATCCGAACACTCTAAACACAGGGTGACACGCAAGGACATGATGGTCTACTCTTCCGGGGTATCGAGCAATCCCAAACTCCAGATCTCTTCCAGAGATACTGTGGAGTGTGAATATGAGAGGAAAGAGAAACATTGGAGGGAAAGAGAAAGAGAAGTAAAGAGAGGTGGGCAAGAAGAGAGGAAGGAAAAGCAAAAGAGTGAAAGAGAAGAAAAGAAAAGATAAAAAAAAGAAATTACAAGAAGATTAAAAAGGGCCCTCGGCCTGAAGGTTTTCGTCTTCGCTGACCAGGCGCAGACATAGCCAGTAAGCTCCGTGCTGAAGGCATAAAAGCGCCGATGAAAGGGACGAAGATTGAGTCGAATATGCCAGATCAATGTACCCGCCATTGAATCGAAGCTGCGTAGGTAGCCCAAAGCGTATTCTGCCCAGTAGCAGCTTTCCCAGGTACGTTCCCTTGGATCGTCATTGGAGAGGGGAGTATCATTTACTCGGCATCCTTGATTTGGTGCTTGACTTGAATGGCCCATTTCATCTGCCCCTGGGTTTCTTGTAGCGCAGCAAGGGCCGCGTTGATTTTGGCCTCACCCTCACGTCCGCTTTCAATCAGGGATCTCAATTCTTCGTCCTGGGTGCGTTTGTAGGCTTCGTATTCGGCGAAGAGGGCCTCAAATTTCTGCCTGCTGCTCTCAAGCTCACGATCCTTCTCGGCCATCAGTTCGTCCAGGCGCTCTACATGAGTGTCTTTTTCGTCACTTCGTTTCTTCAAAGCGACAAAATCATCCCGGAGCAACTTGAGCTTCTTCAGATGTTCCGCCCGTTCCCGTTGTCCGGTCTTCGCCAGCACATCATACTGAGTTCGAGAATGATGAGAGATTTCTTGAAGTTCGGCGCATTTCCGATGAAAATCGTCTCGAGCTTCATCCATCAATTGAGTTGTCTTCCGAGCCTCTCCCTCAGCATGAGATCTCCGGTCTTTTTCGCCTTGAATTTCCAGCCGAAGCTCTTCGATTTTCTTATCCTTCCGTGAAATGGAGTGCAGATTGGTCTCATTCGCTTGTTCGAGATTGCGGAGTCGTTCGGTCATATTCTGGACCTGGATCTTGAACGCATCATTCATTCGCTGGGTCTCCTCGGCCCTCGAGCGATAGACGCTACAATCGCGGGTCAAACGCGCAACCTCCTCCTGTAGATTGTGTATCACCCGTCCCGACTTTCCCGTCGCTGCGTGGCCGACGGCGGATGACCATTCGGTTGCCGGAAAATCGCCAGATATGGAATTGTGGATGCCGTTCGTGCCGTTCGGTGAGGGGACAACTACCGTTTCTACGCACGTGCACACGAATTAGCTGGGGTCGAGGGCATGGGAAAGGGGGAGGGGGGCGGAGATGCTTACCTGTGGATGACTCTTCCGCAGCGGATGCCTTCTGACGCTCCGGGGTACCAATTTCAAAGAGGCCGTTGTACTGATGCATGTTCAATTCCGTTTCCACATGTGGTAAGCTCACACGAGGCGCTCGTTGGGGATCTGACGTAGGTAGCACAAGCATGTCCGAGTCAGCATTTTTTGTTCCTGCCTTAGGGGACTTCTTGACCCGACCGAATCGGGCCATTCCGAGCAAAGCGGATAGGGTTGGAATGTTGGCTGAAAGGCAGAATATCCGCAAACGGCAATGCGACAATGAAGGGAACGGAGTAGGTATCCAAGCAGCAACCTACTCCCTTTGGGGGGGGAGGAAGGAAGACCACGTAGGATGCCACTCCGTAGCCGGAGTTGGGGCCGCAGCAAGGAGCAAGCAAGCAACTTAAATCGACGAAACGAACACCGCCAATGACAATAACTGAATTGTACAAAAGCAAATCAAGGGCGTGATACTAGTAGATCTAGTAGTAAAAGGTGCGCCCGCAAACTTTCTGACCCCGGAATTGACAAACGAGCACGTCGCGGGGAAGATTGGGAACTTAAGTGGCAGATGATGATAGGGATGCATGGAAAGGCACAAAATGACGAGGAAGAAGGGGAAGAAAAAGCGCAGCACATACCACGAAGTGGATCAATGCTTGTTTGCAGATCTGCAGCACGAATATTATTATTATTGTGATGAGGATTAGAATGGTGCTTATTCATCGCCGAGACATCAGAAAAAAAAAAAAATCCGAGATTGCGCTGGAAGAAGTTGAACTCGATGGATGCAGAAGCAAAGGCGGCAAGTGCTGAAGCAAGTAGACAATGACAGGGCCTGGGTCACTCTCAACGCACCTAAATGTACTATTTTACCCGCTGATCCGCGTCGACAGCAGCACGAACCATAAACTCACGCAACTGGGTGAATATTGTAGGGTTCACAGGAGACGAGAGGCTGAGTGATATATATAGTATCAACTAGTATATGGACAGTGATAAGGGAGGGGCAGTAGTATGGTAATCGAGAGTTTGAAAGGGAATGACCGGTGGTGACTCTGTCAGTTGGCAGTAGAAATAAATGTTTTCTGGGAAGATGAGAGAGATCCCCGCACTTAATAAAGATTGCAGCCGGAACTGCTGGGCAGCAAAAAAGAAAAGAAGGCACTAATAGGGATCGAGATGTCTGATGATGTGAGGTGTCTGCCTGGCAGCAAAAGAACAATAATAATAATTAATGAATAAGATGAATTAAGAATAGTAGCGCCCGACCTGGGACTGCCGCCGCTAACCACGGCCGCTAGAAGCAAAACCTGTCCTTCGGATCCAATCCCCTCTGCTCGCCTCCCCCCATCGATCTTCCTACTTGAAACAATCCAGCCTCACTGTCTATTATGACTTGTAGGAACAGTCCGATTGATGATGCGAACAATTTCACCCAACTCCAGACCTGTAATCAGTTCAACGATTGGCTAGTGGACATTCTACATGACATAATAAACTCGTTGTTTGCTATTGGCTACACTAAACTAGAAGTTGGCTATCGAAAACCCTTTTTGAAGGGAAAACCCCCATCACTCGTAATATCCAACCGAACCTATTCCCGCCTTCAAATATCGTCTCACGCCTGACCGCTCAATAACCCATAATCGTGAAATCTCATTATATACAAAGGAAATCTGACCAAAGGAGCGACTCACACCAAGGAAAAGAAAAGGTAAGGATGGGACGGGTTCGAAACAGAAAAGAACCATATGAATAGAAGTTTTGTCGTGATGACCGAGGCCAACATAACTGGCAGTTCCCGAACCTCAGAACTGAAATAGACGATTAGATCCCAATTCTCATGCTACCTACTGAGGACTTCAGTCCTCCCACGTCAGATTCAGCAGACGAGATAGAAGCCCATAGCCACGATGCCAAGGACCAGATCAAGAGAGACCATCTGGAAAGGTGCGCCACCATTCTGCATTGCCGCCGCCATGGCACTCTTGCTGGAAACATTGGAGTTACTGTCGTGGTTGGCATCCAATGTGAAATTCGTTGTCGCATTGTTGCCAGGCAAAACACTGTTCACTTCATCCCGGGGAGCAGTGTCGGTGGGAGTAGGAGTTGGTGTTGTCTGTGTCTGGGATGCTGTTGTCGTCTCCTGTGTGGAGGTAGTTGAGCTTGCAGCTGAAGTTGCAGCGGCTCTTTCCGAGTCATTGTTCAATGTCACTAGCCCCGAATAGTTTACCTGCCCATCCTGGTCGATCTGAAAGGCATAATCTGAGCCTGGTTCCAGAGAGTTGTCAGGTGTCCAAGTGTAAGAGCCTCCCTTTGCATCTTTGGTCAAGACTTGGACAGTGTCGAGGTCTGCGGCTGCTCCTTTACGCAGGGTGATCGTAACAGGCTAGTAATGTCATCAGCAAAGTGCACCAGAAATACTCAAGGAATGAAGAAGGGATCGTACAGCATCAGAGTCACTATCCCAGTTCAAGGTTGTAGGGGCGCCGGCATCAATAGTAGTCGGCCAATGCGTGAAAGCCAAGGCTGCTTGGGCAATCTGGACTTGAGCCAGACACGCCGCAACAGCAACAACTGCCTCTGTAAAGCGCATAGTTGTCGTAGGACCAATGCTTGTAGGTCAGGTATCAGAACGAGATGCAGTTACTCTCGCAAGCAGCACTGGTTGATGCAAGCCGCTGTCAATGATGACTCCCCTAGTACTGGTTCACTTCTTCCTCCAAAGATCTCCGCAAGATCTCAGAGAGTTGACACACCTTGGGATTCCCTAGTAAGTACAGTCACGATATCCTATACTCACCCTTTTCCGTGTAGGGCTACCGTCCAGAACGTCCAGAAATCGGTGTGGCTCGTACAGTACAGAGATCTCCAGAGGTGTGGATGGCATCAGGGCTGGACGATGGACTTTTATTTCCCTCCTTCACCCGTGCTTTGTTTACCTCCGAGTATGCTAGCATACCAGGAGAAAGGCGCGACAAACATGCCGGCATTGAGCACTAGCATTCCGGCTACGCTGCCCATGACTGGCACAGGCTCATGTACAGGAATGTAGCCGAAGTACCGAGTCGAGGCTCTACATTCCCCTCCGCGCCTTTCACAAGGGGTGGGACTGTGACAGCCAAACGGCCTATCTTAGCTGGATCTCTCCGAGTTGGCTTGAATACGATCGCGAGATGAAGCAGATATCGATACATTGTCTCAGAAGCACCTGGCCCCATCCGCTTCAAGGGCGACAGAACGATTACTTTGAGCCGTCTTAGAACTTAGTACAGTGTCTCGCCACATGTTGAAGTCATCGGAACATTCAAGTATGTGTCCTTCATTCAAATCGTTTCAATATCTCTAGGCTCATGAATTTAGATTCTTTTTGCAAGAGCGAAGGGCGGTTATGTCACGGCTCTACATATTTGTGCATCCCCTACCCGAGGCCGTAATTCCCCAGAAAGTTGCACCATATCGAGTAGTCTATTCTGCCATCCACAGGGGAGGAAATTAGCTTCGCGTGGTGGGCGGACTTCGAATCTGCAAGGGGTAGATCCCGAGGAACGCGAAGAACTGTATCGGGCATGGGCTGATGGTACATTATCATAGATTCTTCTTCAATCTGTGTCAATCGGAGTGCAGCATGTGCCGATAGCTCGGTCGGTCTCGGTTTCGCACTTGAATCAATGGTTCTACGATAACTTGTTGCACCGAGAGCTTATCAGAAATCCTCTGGAAATGCCCGATCCCGTTGAAAAGAGGACAGAGACGGGTTCCTGAAGTGAACCAGGGTTCACAGTTTCCAAAAATATCAAAGACCGAACAATCGTCTGGTTTTCCACGAGAAGCGCAACGGTGACACTCGATCCTGATTGTTCGGTTACCGAAAGCGGAAACCAGTTGAGCTTCGTCTGTATCCACATCGATAAACTACGACCTAAATGGTCTGTGAAGATACACTTCCCGATAAGCGATACGTGAAAAGGCACTATCCGGATGCATCCTGTTCTATTCTCTGCTGAAGTTACAGTTGCTTCCACTTTGAACGCCGAGTGGATAGGCTCGCTCTTTCCCTGCGGATAATGGATCCATCCAGCGAACAAGAAAAGCAAGTTAAGACCCCCAGGAGGAAGGACTTTGACTTAACTTGTTCCCTCATTTATTTATGTTCGTTTCTCCGGCCATAAAACTGTAATATTGTTGCCGTCCTATTCCTAGCAAATGACATAGACTGTCCAGTCGCTCGTTAACACCACACTCGTTTCTTAAAAAGTTTCCCTTCTCTCGTTTTCAGTTACTCGAGTCTCTTGAAACTGCAATTTGAAAACCATTTCCTTTCTAACCTGGTATCTTCTTTAATGCTGCACTTTCTGCTTGGAATGTTGCAAGCGACCTTGCCCGTCTCTCTCAAGCGCAGTGCGTCCTCTTCGCTAGTGTGTGAAGCTGAGCCAGCACAGTCGACCACAAGAACAACAGACCCCAGCATCTCGCAACGGTTCTATCGATCAGTAGAATGTGAAAGCAGACATGAGACAGCCGAGTTCCCCGACCAAACGCTAGAACAGTCACCTGCTGTGCCGCACCAAGAGTCGCTCGAGCATACACGAGAAACTGCTCTGCATACGCTAGCGCTTTGTCGCAATGTCATTGCTAGCCTCGAAATAACACGACTCAGCAAATCTCGAACTGGGCTACACTACTGGCTGGGCTTCTGGGACCGAATCTATGGCCGACAGTTCTCTCGTTTACTCTCCTCTCGAGTGACCAATACATTAGCCAGGATCGATGCGCTATTTCGCGCAGTCTCCGGAGACCTTCATGAGCTCACACGACGAATGCAACATGCTGTCACCTATGCTACATCGGAGAAAGAAATCCTGCGTCTCCTTGAGCGAATGGAAGACGAAGTCAGTGTACGTCGAAAGCGGAGACGGAAGAAGGCACAGATTATCATGAACAAACTGCGTGCCAGCATCGAAGCAGTCCCTATCAAAGTTACCGATGAGCTTTTCGATGACTTGAAGCGCGGCGTGTTCGCCTTGGATGTGTTTTGTGATTACCACCCTGGGGATCCGGAGGCAGAAGAGCATGAACGCCAGGCATTGCAACCGATGAACATGGTGACGGTATCACCGTCTTCCCAACCCTGGCACGAATCGGCAGCGTCTAGAGCGTATATGCCTCTATCAGCATACACGGAGATCCACCCGGACTGGACGGAGTATGCGGGGGACTGGATGCATAGGGTGGATTATCGCAGTCGGCAACCTCCTCCAGACAATCCTGCGGCGCACCATAGGTAGATCGAGTCTGAATCTGGGTGCAGATTGAAATAACGGTCCTGGATAGAATTGATCATCTCCTATAGTGGCCGCTCACGGTCAGGTTGACCCATGACACTATTATTGTTCTTATAGATTAGACCGCAAACTCTTGTGATTCATGCTTTGATGGCAGATAGATAAACTTGAAACTTTTAATAACTTTTCTTTGAACCCATCCGTGTCCCGCCAAATCTAATTATGTACGCTAAAAAATGTCAAGTCTAAGAAAAAGGGCACAGCCGTAGAAATAAACAATATATACCTTGCTCATCAAGCAAAATCCCACAATCCTCGGACATAGCTTCCAGGACCGGAATCCTGGCCACCATCCTCCTCCAACAACCGATCGGTAAAGATCCGCCTGGGTATTTGATACTCCACCACCGGCGTCCGCTTGAACGGCTTGTCCTCAGTGCCCAACTCTCCCTGCAACATACCCTGGTAAGTGTAATCCAGGAAATCCTCCAGATTATAGAACTGTTTCGTGAACTGCTCAGAAATGATATTCGCAATAGCAGCCACATTAGGATGATAATGAGACTGAAGAGTCTCGATTTCCCATAAACTGCTCTCGATGGCGTTTGTGCGGGTCGGATCAGGCTCAGCAGGATCGAAGGGATCGTCCATGCCCTCTGCTTCTACCTGAGCCTTGAGCCCCTCGTCGCGAATGTTGCGGTGCATCATGAAGGCGCAGGTAGGGTGCTCTTTGAGGAGGTTGTACATGAAGGGGACGATGGCCACGATGGCAGTGGGGGGCGCGTTAAGAGAGAGGCGGGAAAGACGCTTGAGGAAGCTTGCGATCAGGGCGGCGGGCAAGTGGGTAGAGGCGAGGAAGGTGTTCATGAGGCGGAAGAAGCGGGAGCGGTGCTTAGAGTGGAGGAGGTCGGCGTCGAGGAGCGAGTAGAGCTTTTGGTAGAATTGGGGGTAGTCGAGGTTCTTTTCTTGGATGAGGTAGAAGAGACCCGAGAGGGCGAGGAGAGAGGTGGCTCCTCCGACGTTGTAGGAGTCTGTTAAGAAGTCCATGAGGAGTTCGGGGCGGTTGAACCACGGCTCGATGTTGTGGACCATGATGCGCAGGAGGGTTTTACGCTGCGATTGGGAGAGGTTGTTGCGTAGGATGGCGAGCCAGGCGTCTTGGGCTCGTTTCTTGTGCGAGTTCACGGAAAGGACCTTTTTGTTTTGCTTGCTGGATTCCGTGTAGAAGCTTTCGAATTCGTGCTCCGGGCCGGGGACGGAATCGCATGCTGAGAGGATGGAGATTAGGACGTCGAGGATCTCGGATGGTTGTTCGGTGTCTGCGTATTCGCTGCTTTGTGTGTCAGTGGATGTGGGTTGGTGGAAGTCTTTATTTATGGTTGTGCAAATGGACGTACGCAAGTTGCATGAATGTGTAGTACCGCACGTCTTCGAATTCCTTTGCCTTCTCGATGAATTCGGAGAGCACCGCTTGTCCATTCTGCGCTTCAACAACCGCCTCGAAAACTCCCTTGAACAAACCCGATGTCCATTCCTGAGTGTTGTCGCCGGGGAGGTGGGTAGCACGTTCGTTGATGAGGCAGAGGCACAAGGTCAAGGCGCTGATCTGCTGGGGGTTAGTACCGTATGAGTTTGGCCAGTTGGGGTAGATACGGACCTGAGAAGAGGAGTCGCATTCGCGAATGATGGACAGCAAGAGCTTCTGGTACTCCCGGCAGCGTTCCTTCAACCAAGCTACGATGATTTTCTCATTCTCTGCGGCGCGACTGGTCTCCGTCAAGTTTCCACCAGCGATCAGACGGCTGAAAACCCGGCAAAGGGCCACGGCAACAGCCATGTTCGGTTTGGACGAGCCATCGACATTGAGCATGGAAGTCAGGGTCGCAATGTTGTTGTAGTATTTTCGCGACTCGGAAATTTGGTCTTCCAGCTGCTGGATATCGGCAATCGCATTGGGGCTCTCGGTCTCAGCGACTGCGCGACGCTTGGAGGAGGGAACGGCGCTCGACTTGACATTTTTCCTCTTCTTAGAGGTGACGGCTGCAGTTGTAGGGGCAGGCATGGTCGATAGAACTGCAGATATCGCGCAAAATCGGGGAGACTTGACCGACAGGCAGCACAGCAGTTCCGACATCAACCATGAATTTTTGGAGATCCCTCGGTTAGCGGTTTTTCCGCCCACTGGCGCTAAGCCTGAGCGGGTTAGAGTCTTCCGCACCGTCCCAACCGCCATCCCGACCTCAGTCTCCTCATTTCCGTTCATCCATCACATCCTGTCAAGGTCTGAACACTGCTACAATGGCTTCGCGTTTGGCTAAGAGCGCCCTTGGTATGCCGAACTAGACTCTTTTCGCCTTGCTTTATCAACTGGCTATGATTGTTAACGCCCCCTAGGTGCTGCCCGGCTCCGGCCGACCCTTCCCACGCGCAACGTCGCTCCCATCACTGCCACCTTGACCGCGTCTCGCTCGGCCTCCAACGTTCCCACCGAGGACCCCAAGAAGAAGGCTCAGTCCATCATCGATGCTCTCCCCGGCAACTCCCTGGTCTCCAAGACCGCCGTCCTCTCTGCCGCTGCCGGTATCTCCATCGCTGCCATCAGCAACGAGCTCTATGTTATGAACGAGGAAACCGTTGCTGCTTTCTGTCTTCTCAGCGTCTTCACTGCCGTTGCCAAGTACGGTGGTCCTGCTTACCGTGAGTGGGCTGAGGGTCAGGTTCAGAAGCACAAGGACATCCTGAACGCTGCCCGTGCCGACCACACCAACGCCGTTAAGCAGCGCATGGAGAACGTTCAGGAGCTCTCCAGCGTTGTTGAGCTCACCAAGCAGCTGTTCGCTGTTTCCAAGGTACATTCAGATCCTTTCCACAGTCATCCGATCGAAATATCGTCGGGTTAGCGGATACAGGAAGCTAACGGTACGTAAAGGAAACCGCTCAGCTTGAGGCCCAGGCCTACGAGCTTGAGCAGCGCACTGCTCTTGCTGCCGAGGCCAAGCAGGTTCTCGACTCCTGGGTTCGCTACGAGGGCCAGGTTAAGCAGCGCCAGCAGCGTGAGCTTGCCGAGAGCGTCATCGGCAAGATCCAGAAGGAGCTTGAGAACCCCAAGGTTCTCCAGCAGATCCTTCAGCAGAGCGTTGCCGATGTTGAGCGTAAGTGGACCACATGTGTGCTGCATGATTTTTGATACGATGCTTACAACTATTTTAGGTATCATGTCCTCCAAGGCCCAGTAAATGGACTAGCATGAATAGCCCCGCCGTCAGCCTATGTACAAATTAAAGATCTTTCCTGTTGTCGTTAGACATACCAATACCAAATGTGGTCAGTTTAAGACACGTGTAGCCGAGTAGCTAGACCTAAATCTCTCGGTCTAATTCCAGTATGGATCTAGATGGTTGAATTTGTACATTCTCCCGTCATTGTGCCGTGGAGAAATATGTTTCGCACCAAACTGTAATTCCACGTAGTTGAACACTTCTAGCATCCAATATATGCTATTACTTACTACTCCATACTAGGCTTGTATTACATTCCTCTGCTATTCGGCAGTTGACTCGATCATGTGGTGGCTTCAGGGTGACTGTTTTGGGAGTATGCTATTTGTTTGATATGATGCATCAACTAGCCAACACTGCGGTGGAGTAGCTGGGCTGTGCCCTGCAGGGCTGACGAAAGCCCTCTGCTGACAACAGTCTTCAATATCTTTATCAATATCTTTATCAATAAATCCGTCTTCTTTCTTCTACTGGGTCATGAAACCCCTACAACTGCGGTTGTGGTTGTTGGAGGGAACAATGAGGGACGCTCTTTCAGTTGCCGGGAATTCATCAATCAGGACATTAACCAGGGGTTTCGTGTGGAGCATCCACAACTACCAGCGCTATCAATTCACAACGCTCGTCCAACAGCGTCAAACCAATCAGCCAGGCGCAGTTGCTCGAGTCTTTATGTGTGACATGACAAGATGAAGAAATTGCCGCCGCGGAGGCCAAGACACCAGCCAAACCACGGTTTGGCTGTGATTTGAGGAACGATAAAAATAACCATGACAGGCAATCCATCATCAAACAAAGTTCACAGCCTCGACTCAGCGCCTGTGCCCTGCCACCATCCTTGTATACGGCTGAAGAGTCTGTTATTTCAAGCCCTGATTCCCTTTCACTAGCTGTCTTCTCCGATTCCTTTCCTCATCATCTTCTCCCCATCTTCTTTCCGGTTGTGGCGCTGAGTATCCACCCTCCGCGATAAGCCGCCGCGCAACGATGCCGCTCCGCGAGATACTTCACAAGAAGGACGCCCTCAACAACACGGCCGACCACTATGCGTCCGGTGCCGTTCCCACGACCTCCGGGAGAAATGTGCCTCAGATTACCTTCATTCGAACCGACACAACCTCCCAAGAAGTGATCCGTCCGCCTGTCTTCGACGGAGATGCCGATCACCGCGACGATCGATATCTAGAACCCGTTCCTCCTTCTCCTTCGCATCGCAAATCGTTGAATCCGTTCCGTCGCTCGCGTGCTCCCTCAGAGTCCTCGGGTACAATCTCACCAACGCGCCCGCGCGGAGAAAGACGGCTGACGCACTTGCTGCACTTGGATCGCTCGGGGTCGCGGAATTCCAGCTCGTCATCAGTCAACGTCCCATCCGACCTCCCGCAGATAAATTGTGATCGAGGCGACGAGCAAGAAAGGGAGGCACAATGGGAAAAGAGGGCCACGATGCTGGCACAGCGCAGCCCGCAAGCTGGAGCTCCGTGTCTGTCGCCTACTTCGCCGACAGGCTTTGGATTGGATGGCGCGCCATCGAGGTCGCGGAGTTCTAGTCGGAGCCGGATAAACGATCCAGAAGGGGATGTAAGTGGTCAGGCTGCAGTGTTCTCCATGCATGGCATCTAATGGTGGCATAGGTCAATGTACAAGAGGCGATCCGACTTCATGAAGCTGGAGGTATGGGCATAACTTGGAGTTTGGCTGTCCGCTTGCTCAGTCACTTACACCTGGCGTACAGAACTCGAACGGTCGACAAAAATGTTTGAGCACCTGGCGGACCCTAACGGTGCCAACAATGCACTCAGTCAAGTGCTCTATGGGCTAGCGCTCCGGTAAGTAGCAACCGTACCTTTGTTGAGCTCCGTTTACGCCCGACTCTTATCGCTGTCTGCATATTCGATGAACACTATTGCTACATGATACTGATTTGGGCTTGATATAGACATGGTTGGGGCTGCTCGCCAGATCCTGATAGAGCCGTCATGTATCTTTCGGCCGCAGCGTCCAACTCGGCATCGATAGAGTCTCAGGCGCTCCAGGCCGGCATCAAGAAAGGCGGATCTGCTAAGGGAGAGCTAGTGTTGGCTATTTTCGAGCTGGGAAACTGCTTCCGTAATGGCTGGGGCGTCAAGAAAGACCCAGTCGCAGCGCGACAATACTTCGAAACGGCAGCCAACCTGGGCGATACCGACGCGATGAACGAGGTTGCTTGGTGCTACCTAGAAGGGTTTGGCGGGAAAAAGGACAAGGTTAGTGCTGCTTGCGTAATGGTTCATTCGTGATGATTATCGCAACATGATCTGCCCGTGTCCTGAGGGTCTCGCAGCTCAGGCATCAATGCCTGAAGCGCGCATCACTCTTTGGATCCATCGGTGCTATCTGATCATCTGTATGAGCACTTGACTGACTCGCAACGCCATGTTTTAGTTCACGGCCGCCAAATACTACCGATTGGCCGAAGAGAAAGGCAACAAATTAGTGGGAAATTCCTGGTACGTTAAAATGTCCCTTTTCAGCGTCGTATTTTCATTGTTTGATGCCCATTTCTGGGTCCTCCACGGGGCCAGTGTGACGAGCATTGCCTCAGACCCCAGCGCTCAGCGCTCTGCACCCGGCTCTCCTCACTTGCAGGTGTTGTTGCGGGATGCATTGATAGGCGCTCGGAGTTTCCGCTTCCCTGCGCCATGCAAACCAGCGTCACGCTCTCCGCCAACCACAGCCCCATTTCCTCCCCCCCCCCATCAGCGGGTTTCTGGAGTTTAGGCTGACATGATCTTGTTCAACGACAGGATATGGAAGGACAAGTACAACCCGCACTGAACCGCTAGGGCTGTGTACCTGCTGTTTCTAGTTACTACGACCTTTCATCCGTACCGTCCCATCAGATGACGATGGCGTTTTGGACCGAGCTGAAGCAAGGCTAGAATGCTTCCACTTTCTTAGCCGGCTTCTTGCGGCCCAGACGTCCTTCTCCTTTTCACTTCGTATCCCAGCTCTGGGACACAGACCTCCTTACCTACTACCTTTTGCGGATTAATTTTCTTCCATTCTTCGCTACCATCATCGTGAACGGCAATGATGATGACCCAAGCATCCAGCCTCATCTTTTTTCCTTACTGACACCCAATCTCTCAGCGTACTTTTGCTTGCTTCCCTTCCCCCGGATGTTCATACTACTTCCTTTCTTGGACTTTTCTTCTAATGTTACATACATGCATACATACCCACTCTGCCTGTGCCACACCCACCGAAGCAGAGCAAATAATCGCTATCATTACACCATTACCCACCCCCATTTCCTCTTTTGTCTTCTCCCAGGACCCACGAAGTACCTTGCATTGAGTAACGTGTATGTGCATGGCATAACATCGCTTCGCATCATGTTGTTTGCGTTCGTGGGCTTGCATGGTCCCAGTAACATACTTTGCTCTAGTCCCACCCGTCACGTTGCATATGTAACTACAAGGTAGACCACTACTAGGGTAGGTAAGTAGGTAGGAATGTACGTAGTACTATTTACTGCCCGAACAAATTGCATTATTTAACCAATACATTATATATGCATGATGACCTGAGGTAGTACATATAACCAACCCAAATAAGTATAACAAGTAGATAAATAGTAATGAAGAAAGTTATGCACACCACCAGATACCATACCCATTCCCATGTTATCATCAATGAATGACTACTAAGTATGCACATAGCATAACCACTGTCCCAATAAGCACATATTCCCCATGAACATAATGGTAGACAGTAGACAGAATTCAAACTCCGACCTGCGAGGCGGAGTCTACTCCCACAAGGAACTGTCCTGCAGTTGTAGTTGTAGACATAGTTGCAGACAGTCCAACCATCCATCCAGAGTCGCCTTTCCATAAATAGTATCTCCAAGTTTCACGCTTGAACTATATATTGGGTGATTCTCTGAGCGATGCGATGTGGTGATTTGTGTATGATTATAGCTGGTTCAATGATTTTGCTCGGCTACTGTCGTGTTGAGGTTCGTGTCGAGTGTCGTCCAGGGTGTACCATTTGGTAACTCTCTTTCTCTCTCTTTGAAGCTTTGCAGAGTCGATTCAAGGAAGAAGATTTGGGATGTTTCCTGTTCAATGAGAAATAAAGGCCTATCTCGGGTAAGGAGAGTAGGGATTGGATGAACAGAACAGGACAGCCATGTGCAGAATTGTAGCTGGCCACTTGGCTCCGTGGAATTATTGTTGAGTGTTAGATCCAGTGTGTTGCGGGAAATGTCTCATTCTGTGTTTGAAAGTTTGGGAGAACAATTCAAGAAAGGAGGCTGGAGATGTCCTCCTTTCAGTGGGATAATTGCTCTTGGGAAAGAGATTGAACGTGACACCATGTGTTGTTTGACGTTATAGCTGGCCACTTGACTCCGCGCAGCTGTTGTCGAGGTTGATGTGGAGTGGTTTCGCTTAGCGTCGTACTGATGCTTTCTTGGAAGATTGTGGATGTGATTATTGAAGAGACAAAAAGCAGTTTGACGGTTCTGGGATGTTCTGCGTCCAACGAGCTAATTTCTCTTGGGAGATAAATTAAATCAACATGAGACCATGTGTTGTATAAAAGTATAGCTGGCCAATTGCTGTTGCTTAGCCGCTGTCGAGGTTGATGTGGAGTGTCTTGTACAAGTCATAGTTATGTTGTTCTGGAAAGTCTCCAGAGCTGACTGAAGGAACAAGATAACTTGACGGGTATAGTGGATATTGTTTCCCCTGTCGGTGGGATCAGGTTGGAACTGTTATTGGAGTCCCATGTTTCTTTCGCTGTGCTGAGTAGCACTGTCGGAAGTGTAGGATGGTATGCGAAGGTTATCTCTTCATCAGAATAGTCTTCTGGGTGTGTGATGGCACAAGGAAGCAGAGTGCAGGAAGCGTTATAGTTGGCTCTTTTTCCTGTGGTAGGGTGAGCTCGGAATAGTAGTGTCCCTTTCATTGTTTTAGAATAATACTGTGTGGAGTTATGTATAGTATGCGAAAATGACCTTTCCGTCAGACGTGGCTTCTGGTTTGTGTGATGACACAAGGTGGGAGGATGCTCGGACCTTTGGATGATTAAAATATCTGTCGGTTGCGTGAGCTCGAAATAGTCATGTCTCTTTCGTTGTGCTCCAGTTAGTACTGTTGGAAGTGTAGTATAAAATGGGAAGATGCTCTTCTCACCAGAAGAGTCTCCCCGGTGTATTCACAAAACGGTAGGAAGATGCTTGACTGATTGGACCTACGACTTTCTCTATCGGTTGGGTAGTTAGTCGGATCTTTCTCATTGACGTGCTGAAGTGGTAGAAATAATATCGACAGCACATGGGGCAATGCTGAACTCTGGGTCCTAAGTGTCTTCTTCGTTTCTGCATATCACAAGTATGAAGAAAGCAGATGCCAAGTAACAGAAAGCACTTTCTGTACTGTAAGGGAAGAAGACCTGCGCGTTTTTCGCACATTTAAGCTTCTTTTTATGTTCGTACTATCTTTTTCTCCTTGCTCACTGACAATGAAGTCTTATGTGCGCTCTGACTATCAGCAGGCAGCGCTGCATCATCTGATATTATCGGGATGGCTTCTCAAGACCCGGTGTATCCAAAATAGTCTGTCGTTGTACCATGCTTCCGAGTCACTGGAGGAGTTTAGTTCTTCTCTCAGGTGAGGCGAATTTGTCATTGAGCAGTTTCGCGTTGGAGGAAGGTAGAGGGTTTTCCCTTTGCTGAATCCTGTTATATAGATGGACCCCAGGACATCATACCAAACAGACACGCGTATAAACAGTCAGTGACCCAAAGAGTATCATTTCTTGTGTTCATACCGTACATGCAATATATCAACTTCCTCGAAAAGTATGTACGGGACCTTTCACATAAGCAAAATGTGAGATGGTCCAGAAGGACCCTTAATTATTGTAAGAAGTGCAAACGATAGCCATCCGTGTCGATCTCAAGTTCCCAGATATTAACTTCGTCGGAACAGTCTGACACAACTGGTATGGCGCGCAATCCTCCATTCTCCTCGACCGGGGGAGTCAAAGCAAATGTTGCTATTATCGCGTCGTTTCAACCCAGTCATGGCCGTCGGATTCTTCCAACCACCAGACAGGCAGTCGAAGCATTTGTTCCAGGTGCCATCAAGACGAGAGTAGCATCGCTCAGAGCAATAATCCCGTAACTTGGCTTAATACCTTTCCCTCGGTCGGCCAGTGATAATTTAAAGAGTGATCAAGGTGCTGCTCGACGTTGAACCTTCTATGGGAAAAAACCCGGTTTTTGAGAGGAAGATTTGGCTGGTGTTTATATAGGCTAACAGGCGCAAGCCATCCAGCTCCGCCGGCGCTATATCGGAGAAAGATGTAACTTATCACTTGCCTCCGAAAGTGACTTTTTGCCGGATCTGACTCGTAGCCGTGATTGTACAGCGCCCAGACAGCATTGGCTGATGGTTTTCGCCGCATCCATCACGCATCTGAAGCATCAAAAGTAGGAAAGAGCCAGTGACCTTTGCCAGATGCAGACAGGCAGTGGAAGAACTGATTCTAAGCCGATGAGTTCCAGGGAAGATGTTCCGTAGACATACCCTTTGTCTGCTTCGTCTAAGCCATTCCTTAACACAGCCAGCATTCGGAAAATGACACTCGGGAACAGGAAGATACGCTGTTGGACTTAGCGATGTGAACAGAACTGGAGACCTTAAGCTTCGCGTATCAAAGGCCACTTCGGCTGGTAAATTCCATTGGTGATGAGGTGTGAAGGAATTACGACGAGCCACGTCCAAGGGCATCGATGCCGGTGCACATGAGAATCATGCACCAACCTTCATCATGGGCAATATCTCCTTCGGATACAGAAGAAGATTTCCTTCTCACCCGACCATTCTGCGTTCTTTTGCATTGACACGGACGGGCTGATCTCAACAGCTAGGGACATGCTCTCTCGTAATAGTCGTATCCAAAAAGTATTAACGTGACCCAGTAACACTGCGGAACATATAAAGGGCGTGTCAAAGCGATAAGCTGGAATGAAGCGTTCATAGATAGTCTGTACCTTGGCCATATATATCATCTTCGGTTGCTTGGTGTGTTACTCATGCGTCCATATCTCAAAGTGATGTGTTCTGCTGGTCATGAGTCGAATTTTGCATAACGGGAATTAGTCCTCCAAGATATGCACAGGGCGCGATATGCAATCCTTCAAGGGAGATTGCTGTGACATTGTCCTCTGAAGCTCCTCAATTGAGTTGATGTTGTAAGTATCCAAAAACGCTTCATACTAGGAGTGAAAGATGAGCTGATGTCCCAGGAGCCTTTGAAGTATGCAGGCTAGTCCCTTAGATATATCAGGTACGTCGTTGCGCTTGTTGGCTGTGTTCAACGCGTCGAAGCTTTCGGCAGCACTGATTAAAATCACATCATTGGCTTGTTTTCGTGGATCTCGTTCAAGGCGAAGGTTTTGATGACAGGATGGAGTGGTGCCATATCATTAAGGGTTGCTAGAACACTAAGCTGAATTGTTGTTCACATTAAGTGAACCACAGGTCTTGGTCACAGGGAACAAATGGCACTTTCATAGCGCCAGGCACTGCTCGAGCAGTTGCCAGAGAAAGCGAGCGAGTAAGTGGATGTTAGACACTTCGTCATCCTGTACCAATACTGACTCTTCCCTCTTCTGCGTCACGGACCAATTAGTCTGTTGGTGGAGTGATTACAGAGACAATCACCCAGTCTACTCGTCACGCAAGTGAGACATTTCGCAGTGTCGGAGCTTGAAGAACACCGTCGTATATATATTGTAGGTAAAGCGTTTTTCTGCAAGT